ATGGATGGATGGATGGATGGATGGATGGATGGATGGATGGATGGATGATTGGTTAAAGTACTTCTGCACCTGAAGACCGCATTTATTATTATAGGTTTTAATGAAAGTCTAACAGGCTGTGGGAACTGTTTGTCTTCAATCAGGAAGAAATTAATCGAGGGAGTGTGAAGGCGATCTGGGTTCGTTCAAATCTTTGATAGTTTAGTAATCGAAATAAATGAAATGGAAAGCTGAACCTAAAAATTTGTATATAAATATTTATAATTATCGGAATCATGGTAAGCAAAAGTACAAAAAAATTGAGTAGTAAGTGATTATTGCCCACCCTTTTTATAAATATTTCTTTAGCAATTTCAGTTAATAATACCTGCATTTTGATAAGCTCTCCTTTCAGTTTATTGACTTCACTCTGATATGGCAATAATTCCGTTATACGTGATTCTGCTGATAATTTTTCACGACTGACACGATCTAATTGTGTCTGCAGTTCTTGCATTTTGTTATTGGTAGCCTAGAATATAATGAGACGTCATTAACATATATATATATATATATATATATGTAAAATGATATGAAAAAGATTGTTTTTTTTTTTTTTTTTTTTTTTTTTTTTTTTTCATAATTACTTCCAAAAATTGTTGTTGTTCGTTGTTGATCAACTGATAACTGGCTGCAGCAGCAGCAGCCACAAATGCCGGATTCAACTTATATAAATCATTGCTAACGTTCGCTGAAGCATTAGCGCCGCTCGTTGAAGCTGTTGCGGCTGAGGATAAAGACGAATTTGAATTGGTTGCGGTTAACGCAACCGCCGCACTATACGCGTTGTTATTTTTATTAGTCGGTACAGAGGAAGAGATGGCAGAGTGTTGAGTACCTTGAGCTAAAGCAGCCATTGAAGACATAACATCTCCTCCCCCTTGTGCGGCGGTACTGATCGTAGTTGATGTTGCAACTTCTCCGGGTTTATTAACAATAACTTTAGGTACCGAAATTGAGGCCGCCGTTACCGTTGTGGATGATGACGCTTTAGGCTGTTTTTGACCTTTTTTGGGCGTCAAGCCTTTCTGCTTTTTATGCGGTAATGTATGTGCCGTATGCTGGGCTGCCTGTGTAGAATTGTTTTTACTGCTTTCTAAACTATGACTGCTAGAGGATAAATGATGATCACCCACATCGACTCCTCTTTCCGAAGAACCATCGATACGAATAGAAGTGGGCTCAGAAACGGGAGGATATAATTTTGTTGTAATGTGTTTATTATTAGCGGCGGTTGCGTTTATTGAGGTTAGCTCCTCTTTATCTACGGCTGCATTTAGTGATTGGGTAGACTGCGATTTGCTGCGATTGTTATTACTGCTGGAATGTTTAGATGAGGAACCCTGGGAAGGAGTTTGACCTCTACGAAACAAGGATTTCAATTTGATCATATTTATATTTTAGTTTTTCGTATTTTTTTTTCTTTTATTTTTTTATTTATTTTTTTTTAATACTTTTTTTTTTTTGTTTTCTTTTTTTAATACAAATGCAATGAAACAGTTCTCCAAGGGTTTGTGATTCTTTCTTTTTTTTTTTTTGGTTTTGTTTTTTCAATTTTGCTAAATTCCTGCAGTTAGTTTAATTATCATCTTATTGTCGTTACGTTCTTTTTATAATGGAAAATTTATAAAAGTCGTTGTCTTATAATATTCGTTGAGCTTTATAAACATTCTTTTAAGAAAAAAAAAAAAA